GGTGTATCGCTTGAAATCCAAATAAAATGAGGGGGAAGATTGGGAGTGCATTTCTAAAGAGAATGGGAGAAGAAACAGTTGACGCATTGTTGTCGTTGAGATTGCGTGAATTCCAGCTACTCGCCTGGATACTCACAATTGACTAACGACCAACTTATAATAATAATTATCATTACTACTAATACCTAACGAGTTAAAATCTAGATAAATTTTGAAAAATGAAAATTCATATAATTATAGCGGTGGAAATTAAGTTACTCTTACCATAACCCATGGACCTTAGTTATTTGGGTTGTTGGTGATTTAATATAGAATCAAAACAAGAGCTCTCGCGTATTAAAGTCGTTTAAGACTCGAGTAAAGTTCATGTGTACTGTTTACCTTTTAAAAGTCAGGAATATTTGCTACAATGTAACTAGCAGATTTTCAAACATATTTATTTGAAGAATGTAGGCTCATCCCCAATAAAATAATCATAATAATCATTCATACCAGGGCAGACAAAATGGAAGCTCATGGTCTGAGCTAAAGCTTGGACTTGGGAGCTTGAGGTTCTCTAGACCATGAAGGAGGAATGATTCTGTAATCTTTTGTTGGCTCTTCAGCCTTCTGTTTTTCCCTTTCCTCTTCCTCTTCTTCTTCATCCAATACATCCTTTGAGAATGCATTAGGGTTTGCTTTTATGCAGCTCTGCAAAGCCACAAAAGGATGCACGCAGTCCGATCCCTTCGAAAAAAACCAATCACAATTTAGCTGTTAGTATGTGCCACAATTTTCTTTGAAGATACCAAACAAACTTTCAATCCCATGCCTGTTTCACTTTAATTCTTATACTTTTACTAATTCAGATTTCTATTTCATTAAAGCTTAATTTCCTTTCGGACTTCCCCTCAAGGTTTTTAAAACGCGTATGCTAGGGAGGAGAACGGAAAACCCTTATAGGTCCACACTATAAGGGTGTTCCATTCTCTTCCCCAATCGATATGGGATCTCACAATTCACCCCCCCCCCTTCAAGGTCCAGCGTCCTCGCTGGCACTCGTTCCTTTCTCCAATCGATGTGGGACCCCACCAAATCCACCCCCCCTTCTGGGCACAGGGTCCTTACTAGCACACTGCCTCGTGTCTACCCACATTCGGGGAACAACCTCCTCGCTGGCACATCGCCCGGTGTCGGCTCTGATACCATTTGTAATGGCCCAAGTCCACCGCTAGCAGATATTGTCTTTTTTGAGCTTCCCCTCAAGGTTTTTAAAACGTGTCTGCTAGGGAGAAGTTTCCACACCCTTATAAAGGGTGTTTCGTTCTCCCCAACCGACGTGGGATGTCATAGTTACATTCCTCTTCAGTGAAAAGCAGAAAATAAACCTAATGTAGTAAATTATAAAAAATAATAAATAAAATTTAAAGGAAAAAGTAATATTAATCTAAGGAGCACATCAGTTGCAGAGTTAGACAAGATTAGTCATAGCCCCTTGTTTCTACTTTTCAACCAAAAACATACTCTAAATAACTTAAATGTACAAACTATTTGCTATTTTGAATTCCAATTATCTCTCACTACCGTCAAAGACATTTGGTAAGTTCTAATGCAAAAGTATGAACCACAATGAAACTTCAAACGTATAGAGAACAAATTGACTCAACAATTAAGGGATAACGATTGAAAATGTAACTTAAAAGTTAGTGGATGGGGTGGTTCCATCTTTTGCCTTACCTTTTCCTCTGCAGTACTCTTGAAGAAGCAAAAAAAAGCATCAGAAAATTGGACGCCACATGGACCTTTACGCAAGTCAGCTATGCAGGGGCACTCTAACGCTCTGTTAGCTTTGGCCTCAAGAGACTGAAAGAAGCATAGGTCAACTTCTTTGTTGGCAATTCCAACTTCAAAAGAAAACTTAGATCTTTAGAGTGGACAAACCTCATTTGCTTCATTGCCATAAGCTGCAGCTTCTGCACGAATGACAACAACGTTGTTGATGATCAAACATGTTCTCAAATCTAACACCAAACAAAAATAGTACAACAGGAATTGCAAATAATATTACATTTTATCTGTTAAACCTAATAAACTTAAAACAAAGAATTGTTAAATTACACTAGACAAATAATATCGTTCTGTTTCAGATTAAATGACAGTATCATTCAATTTTTTCGATCATCTCTTGTGATGCCAGCTTAGTATTTCACAACCGACGTGTGGTAGTTTGTGGTTTTCTTTTCATAGGCACTTTCAGTTTGGGCTCATATGAACTCTATAGTATTCTCCCTTACCTGAATAATAACTCACGAGCTCACTTGTTAGTCTACAGAAAAAAGCAGTTTTATGGTAGTATGGCTGCAACAATTGCTTAGCATTTTGCTCAAAAAAATTCCCCATCAATGAAGAACTATAAAATAAACCACATGCAGTGCATGGTGCAATCAGGTTAAGTTTTCACTGGAAAAGTTTCGATTGGATGCACTCCTCTAAGAAGTCTGGTCTACGTATTTAAGTAACCTCTCACAAATTAGATTGATACAACTTTCATCCGTGACAAATTTGGCCCTCCAATACTTAGAAGCTACAGATTAGAAGCCTGAAGAACACCTTCAGCAGCAAGAAACTAACGAGTGTTGTCCATTGTGTTTATCCCCTCGTACACTAGTGCCGACAGACAGACCCATGAAATTTCCTTATTCACAGAATCAAAAAAATAAAATACCGACCACTAAATGGAAGCTGATGACTTCTTCACAGGTGGTTGTACAATTAATGTGCTGAAATTGTTTTGCAAGTCATGGGATATCTACAATCTTCTCTTCCCCACGTTAATTTTAAAAATGAACAAAGAGGCTATCCCTCGTTTCAAACAATTCAAACTTCCTATTGAAACCAAACATGAAACAAAAATCCTAGTCTCTATTTGATGGTGGACGATAGTTATCACTCATTTAAAGTGCTGAAGAACAAGGAATCCACGTGAGATTATCTTGACATCCCTCCTGTACCTCTTTCCAAAATGAGAGAGCTGAACTAAAGATCGATGTCTTGATGAAATTGAATTAACTCTCCTACCTCTAGCCTATAGGCCACTTTAAGTTGTGTGCTGTCAGCTTAGTATTTCACATATTTGGATAGTAAGTGGCTCTTCATTTGTGAAGTATTGCCAGTACAAGCTCATGTATTCTGTAACCCTCCCGCATGTTCCAACAAGCTCTCTTCAACTCAATGCTTAGTCTCAAACTACCAGAAACCTCAGTTTCATTTAGAAATCCTTATTTAATCTTCCAATACAAACACGGCAACGTTCCAAGAACTGAATGTAGTTAAAACATGCTACGAAGGAAAGAAAATATCAATAAAACGAACAGAAAATCAACTCAGCAAAATTCATGATACTCATTAGATCTTTTAGCGCTCGAAATTTAAATTTCTTGAACACAATTCATTCTTACATAAAAAAGATCGCTTCGTTAGCCTACAGATACATTTTTATAGACACTAGGAATACGAACTGAACAAAAAGACAAGAAGAACTCAGTCAGAAGACGACGAACCTGCAATTAGAGACTCCATGGAGGGAGATTCGGAAGAGGAACCGGAGACAGGACTTGGAGACGGATTCCGGCTTTGTGGTAGATCGTTCGGAGACGATGCCGCTGCTGCTACGCTCTCCGTTTGACCCATCCTTCTCTCAAGTCCACAACTCAAGTTGGAAACCGTATAAGCTCTGAAAAGGCGGACCGAAGAAAAATGGAGCTTTTTAAAAATTAAAAAATAATGACTTTTTTATATAAAAAAAAAAAAATAACTTTTTAAAACAAATAATAAGATTTTTTTTTTATTTAAAAAAAAAATAACTTTTTATTATGAAATAAAAAAATTGCTAATTATCTTATATAATTTATTTTATTTTTTAAAATAATGTTGCATAAATGATACCTAATGATATTATTACCGTATTAATCTCTAACTATGCTCATTCACATATTTATTTAAGTCAAAATCTTATTTTAGTAATATTAATAAATAATATATTAATTTAATTACTATGAAAATTTAATGTTTAAATCTTTAGAAAATATATTGTTTAATCTATTTTTAAGATTTTTATATTATTTTTAAAAATCTTATTATTACACTTATATATATAAAAAAAAATTATAAAATTTTTAAAATTTTGATAAAAATTTGATATATTTGATATATCTAAATGTTATTATTTCAAATTTAATCCAGATAAAGCCTATGAATCACTACTGTATCAATTATTCGTCCAAAATGTCACGAGTAATTGAATTAATATAAATATTCTTTTAAACAAATAACAAACTATTAATGTTTTTTTTTCCAATGTGAATTTTCGACTTCATAGAAAGAACGAACAATTCAATTATCATTGAGTAAGCTCACTTTAATGTATGATATGTAATGTAATAAACCATTATAAATCAATTTGAGCATAGTTTAACTGATTAAAACATTATATAGTATCAAAATATTAAATATTTAAATTAAAAAAAAAAAGATATTTATGAAATTTGATTAAACTACGAGAGTGTCAACTCAAATGACACGTGAACCTACAAACTCGAATTAACTAACTCAAACTATAAAAATCGGGTTGAAATAAAGTTTTTTTATATTTGAGTTCAGTTGAATTTTTGGAAACAACAAATTGAATTTTGTTTAAAGATTAAGTGGAACTAACCTATTTTTATTACTGAGATTGAGAATATTTAATGTTGTAATTGATGTCAGTGATATGTGGATATTTGATATTTGAGTTGTGTAATATTTTAATTATTAATATAATATATCGGATAGATAAGTATATTTTTTTAAAAAATAATTTAAAAAAAAAAACTCAATCTAAAACAGAGAATTGAGTTGTAACTTTATTTGAGTTGTTTGAGACACCAATCCAATCAAATTGATGCAACACGAAATTGAAACAAATAACGATCGAACCATGGAGACAAAATTTAAAATTTTAAAACAATAGGATTTACGAAAGAAATAATGCATGTGATCATTCCACGACGGAAATTAGAGCAGATGATTTGAGGAAGAATAATGTGAGAGGCTGAACTGGAGGAACATTGACTACGAACAGGTTCAAATCATCTCTCTCGATCAATCCATTTCTTCAATTTGTAATTGCTCATTCAACAATTTCGAATTAAACTGGACAAATATCCGGTTTCCGCGAGATAATGGCGAAGAAAGTGAAGGTTACAACAGGGATCGAGCAAATCATCTCTCGATCAATCCATTTCTTGAATTTGTAATTGCTCATTCGACAATTTCTTAAATTGGACAAATATCTGGTTTCCACGAGATAATGGTGAAGAAAGTGAAAAGTACAGGATTCGAGACCTTGAAAAAGAACCAACCCAACACATTCAGATCCATCTTTCACCGCAAAAAAACGAAGAATGGAGACGATTCTCCTTATTCCATCCCTCAGCTCTCTTCCTTCGCAAATTCTGTTGTCGCTCGTTGTTCCAAGTATTTCTTCATTTTTGTATTGGTCGAATGTTTTCTTTGCTGTTATCTTGTATATTTCTGCACGAGTTTGCATGCATTGTAATGTTAATGCTAAATACTTTATCTTACAATATCAGCTGCTATTTTTCTTCAAAATTTGATGCGTTTACCATCTATTTTGTGATACTATGACTGTTATTCATGCGTGATGATAAAATGCTGCCGTACTGGTGATATACTTCAGTAAAAGTTGTTCTAACGTGTGATTTGACGTAGGATGATTAGTTGTTCATCATGTGCAAATGACTGATTCTCGGGAATTTTTCTAGTTACTGTGGAAGAACTCGAATATGACTATTAATAATCAATCGCTGCACTCATGATCCATGGACAATAATGCGAGTATGTGTGAAGCCCGTCCATTCAAATTAGGCATATCTATCAAACTAATCACTTCCTTTTGTTCTTCTTCATTAACTATTGCATTATTGCACAGTTTACACATTTTTAGCCAGAGGATTTCAATAATTTAAGCGCTTTTAAAGATATGTTGCATGTCATATTGAAGGCATAGTTTGGATTCAGCATTTGTTATGCAATCTCCACAACTCGACATTGACTTCAGCTTTTATGTCATCGTCATTTCATGCATCTAAAGGCAATTCTGTTATGCAGGATTCTTCAAACGTCCATTGAAGAAATGCAACACATTTTTGATTCAGAGCAACCTGAAGCTAATAAGGAACCCGAAACTTATTCTAGAAGTTTGTTGGAATTTTGCTCATACCAAACACTCTATTCAATGAATAGACGTACAGATTATTTAAGTGACAAGGATTTTCGTCGCTTGACATATGACATGATGCTCGCTTGGGAGTGCCCTGGTAGTGAAACCGAACCACTGCCGCAAGTGAGACAGTCTACCATTATTATATCCATTGATATTTAGTAAGATAGAGTGAGATTATCACTTAAATGCATCTTCTTTTTTCTCGTGGGGTTGGAGATGGAATGTGGAGGGGCGGAATTTGGGATAATTTTAGCTTTTAGTTTTCTTTTTTTAAAAAAAATTCATTTACAAAGATGGCAATAAAAGAGGGAGAGAAGAAATTGATTGTGTTTCTAAATCCTCTTTCCAACTGTAGGAAACTGCTTCTTGCAGTAATGAGGAAGTAGAGGATAAGGAAGAGTGGTCACTATTTTATTCAAATTCTAAAAACATGGCTGTTCGTGTTCATAACGTTCTTGTTTTCTTATCTGCAACTTGATAGGCACTTATGTTATCTCATGTCTAGGATGGGTACTTTGAAGATTGTTTTGCTAGCATTGACGGAGATTTTGAGGTACTAGTTTTTAGAACTCTTGTATTATGATGATCAGGTTGATGACAAGAAAACTGTTGGACGAGAAGCTTTTGCACGGATAGCTCCTGCTTGCATTGCGCTTGCCGATCTCATAACTGTTCACAATCTTTTTGACTCTTTGACGAGTTCTTCAAGTCACCGACTCCATTTTCTTGTCTTTGACAAGTATATAAGAAGTCTTGAAAAGTAAGAACTTGCTTCGTTAGTGTGACAATTGTGTGATTTTATACATGTGATCGAAATCGTTTCTCCAACTTATACAGGTTTAGTTAAGAAAGCTTTAAATGTGTGAAATACAGTTTTTGTTCTACATAAAACAGAAAATGAAATGGTTATCAAACATACACCTTGGATGATCTTGTATTTTGAAGTTTGTTCTTTTAAGATTAGTTTTTTGTTTCTTTAATGAAGTTGATTTTAGTCAGTTCTGGATTCATGTTTTTGGTTCAGTAAAGTATTATTTAATCCGCTTTTGCTCAGTTTATGCTTCTGCAGCATTGTTAGAATGATTGTCGTTTAATGTTCAGGTTTTTATATTACATGCGGTTACATTCAAGCTTGTGTGTCGTGTATGATAATTGCACCTTGCAACAGAAATATATTGCAACTATTATATATTAATTTTATTTTTTTTGTGAATATCAAATGGTCACTGAAGAAGTCTTAAGGTGGGACCTATCTGTTTCTGGATCATGACCTTTTCTGTTCCAGAATTAGTTAGTTTATGGACTAATATCACTCTTAGGAAAGGATTATCACGATATCTGTTTCACAGGGTTATTAAGGCAACTAAACATGGATTGCACCCATCAACTGGAAGTCTTCATCTTTCCGAAGGAGAAATTGTCCTTGAAGTTGAGGGTACAATACCCACTCAACCGGTGCTTCAGCATATTGGCATTTCTGCTTGGCCTGGTGAGTCTTGTTTCTACAAATGTAATCCAAGATTAAACAGATTGAACTACCTCCGTTTAAATTTTGAAGATTGAAATTTAAGATCCAAGTTTCCTTCTCTCGATTATAGTTTTTGAGCCATGAATAAAAATTCATGTTTCTTTCCTTTTTTTTTTTTTTTTTTTTTTTTTTTTTTTTTTTTTTTTTTTTTTTTTTTTTTTTTTTNAAAAAATCAGCATTCCTTACTTTGTCGGTCAAAATATAGATTATTCATGTTGGATAGATTATAGTTGTTTATTGACTAAGAAAGGGTAGATAGTTCTCTCTTTGGAGATTTTGTCCCAGATTATGAGCTTTTTTTGGATTATGGATTTTGGAAGTTGTGGTGTAGAAAGTAGTTAATTCTTTTGTGACTAAAGGATTGATGCTTTCAAATTGGAGGAGAAAAGAGATAAGTCTTCCTTTTTCATGAGATTGCTATGGCATCAAGTGCAATGGTTAGAACCATCGTTGTGTATTCATCTCTATTTCCAATAAACTTAAGTTGCAAAAAAAGGTGAATGAGTTCTGTTTGAAAGCTTAAATTGTAATTTTTTCTATCGAGTCTTTCATTGTCTAAGATGAATGGTTGGCTTGCATTTGAATAATAATATAAAAAAAAAAAAAAAAAAAAAAAACCTTTT